CTGATGACGGTTAGTGCAAATAAGTGTGTTCATTAATAACACAAAACTTCTGTTTTTAGCTTGGTATACGAGAATACTATTGCAATTTTTAGATAAATTTTAATAAAGCTGAGTAAAAAATTTGCATTTATCAAAGCTAGATCTCCGCCTCATTGGTATAAATGCAGGATCCTCTATAGATAAATGGAAGCATTCTGTCATATGTAGACATTTTCAGTCATTCGTTTTAAAATAACACAAAAGAAATAAAAAAAAACCTGCATTATATTCAATCAAATAAACTATCAGATTAGTCATCTAATACTCAAAAACACTTTCAGTCAATAATTAACGGACTTCCAAATGTCTTGTATTCCTGTAAGATTTGTAACTCATGCATTAAAGATCAGGCCTTATAAGTCTTAAATGCAGGTTTAAAAGTAAACAGAAGGAAGCTTATTTGTAAAGTCTTTAAATAAGGCTGCACATAAGATATCGCATCAAATGTATAATAACAATAACTTTTATTGTAATTTGAAAATATATCCTTATTCAAACTCAATGTCCTTGCTATCCTTTCGCATCATAAAGACTAAAACAATCATATTACAATATATTGATAGTCCTAAATAATAAACTATTTTGGAGTATAGGATTTATGCCTTGTTTTAAGACTTTTCTATAGAAAAAAAATTCAAATATTAAAGCATTCTAAGTAGTTTTTAATAAGGAGATCTTTAAATTCAGATGACACACTTTAGTCAGACAGACAAAGCATATCATAAAGCTATCTTGTACATTGCGAATAGAAACACCAAATAAAAAGGCCCCTTCTTGATTAAATTTGCTGCAAGATTTCACTGTAACTATGATTAAACCTTTTTCAATTTGTGCTGTTTGGAAATATATGACTTTGGGAACGTCTCAAAATCTAATGACAACTATTAATTATGCTTTTCAATTATCTGACCTAAGTCTAGTTGGCAGTTCTGCACAAACGTTTGTAAGGTGGTGGCCACATCAGATCAAAAACCTAATAATTAGCAGCACACTAAAAAGAAAACAAAATAGAAAACAACAACGTGTGAGAAATGTAAAACTGAATATAAGCCTGAACACAAAATGCCCATAGAGCAATAGAGTGGTGGCAGTATGATGCTGTGGGGTGCATTTTTTTCCAGCCTATATAAGCTGGTAAGACCTAATAAGAAGCTCTTGGTACTGCTTAATATATTGCACTCTGTTATGAAACTTAGGGATAATGATTCATACAAATCTGTGGATAGCACACTTTTCTACATTTTCGGAAAACCATATAGATTACAAACAATTCCACTAAAGAACTTGCTTTCTGTTACATCACAT